ATTCATCCCATTTTATCCCAGCCTAAGATTTATAAAGATCTTCTCTCTTGGCTTCACAGACGTTCGAACGTGTTGCTTTGAGGGTTCCTTTCTTTCATTTACACATCTGAACACTCCACAAATTATTCATGCTGAAGGATGGAATTATGAGGAGAGGGGAAGGAGGAGGAGGAGGAAGGAGGAGGAGGAGGAGAAGGGAGGAGGAGGAGGGGATGGACGAGGAGGAGGAGAAGGAAGGAGGAGGGTGGAGGAGGAGGAGGAGGAAGGAGGAGGGGGAGAAGGAAGGTAGAGAAGAAGGAGGGTGGAGGAAGAGGAAAAGGAAGATGGAGGAGGAGAAGGGAGGAGGAGGAGGAGGGTGGAGAAGAAGAAGGAAGGTGGAGATGAAGGAGGGTGGAGGAGGAGGAGGAGGAGAAGGAGAAGGAAGGAGGAGGAGGAGGAGAAGGGAGGAGGAGGAGGGGGGAGGAGGAGGAGAAGGGAGGAGGAGGGTGGAGGAGGAGGAGGAAGGAGGAGAAGGAAGGTGGAGAAGAAGGAGGGTGGAGGAAGAGGAAAAGGAAGATGGAGGAGGAGGAGAAGGTGGAGGTGGTTGAGGAGGAAGAGAAGAAGGAAGATGGAGGTGGAGGTAGGAGAGGAGAAGGAAAAGGAAAAGAAAAGTGTGGAGGAGGAGGTGGAAAAGGAGGAGGAGAAGGAGAAGAAGGAGAAGAAAGGTGGTGATGGAGGAGGAGAAAGGTGATGGAGCTGGAGCTGGAAAACAAGGACAAGGTGGTGGATGTGGAGGAGAACTTTAATATCCATTGGAAGAAATAAAGATCCCTATAACAATCTTTTTCAGTTTGATTAGAGTTTTATATATGAGTATGAATTGTATGCTGGTTAATTTTAATGGTTTTCCCAAAGTATCTTGAGAATTGGAGTTGAAATTCCTCCATAAAAAATTTCCAACCTTCAAAGATTTATGCCTCACCGAGATTTTTATGGAAAGGGTTTTTTACAAAACCTGTCCAAGTCTCCTTCTTTGCTTAAATTTTTTGCAGAAATGTGTGAAAAATTAGGAATTCTAGGAGTTGTCGTTCCATCAGGAAAACACCAAGTTACCAAAAACTACAGGTAGTTCCTTGACTTACAGCGGTTCATTTAGGGACCATTCCAAGTTACAATGGCACTGAAAAAAGTGACTTATGACCATTTTTCACAGTTATGACCATTGCAGCATGATCATATTGATGACGGTTGCAATGTGTCTGGGTCATGTGATCTCCTTTTGTGACCTTCTGACAAGTCACAATCTGGGGAAGCCAGATTTACCTAACAACCGTGTTTCTAACTTGCCAACTGCAGGGATTCATTTAATGACCGGGGCAAGAAAAGATCATAAAATGGGACAAAACTCACAACAATTGTTTCACTTAGCAGCAGAAATTATGAGCATAATTGTAGTCATAAATTGCAGCCTACCTGTGTCCTAAGCACTGATTGGAAATATATTCCCCAACAAATTAGATTTGGGCTGCTATTTTATTCCAGAGTTGTAGCAGTTCTTACAATAAAAGCAAGTTCTAGAATCAAATTTACAAAATTATAGGATGGAATTTATGTATTTTTGAGAACAGGATACATCTGCAAAGGAAGAATAAATGATATAATGGTGAGAATTTAGTGCAAAGCAAGTTAATAAATACAGGTTCCTTTTTGCATGATTTTATAAAAACCCCCCAATAAAATAAAATAAAATAAAATAAAATCCCTAAGGACTTTAGCTCTTTTAAGTTCATCACTGTAAATCAATTTAAACAGTGCCTGAAAACTCCAACTCAAGAAACTGGCATTAGTCCAGAGTGAATTAATCTGAAATTAATTTGATTTTGAAAGGCTCCATCTGGTTATGTTTGGAAAAGGCAGTTAGACAGAGAAAGAAAGATATAAACAAATGATCATCTGTATTCTCCACGCCAGATGTTTTCTAGGGTTGGGGTTTTTTTTCCCCTTCCCTCTTTTAAAAGAACTAAGAGTATTTTTTTTAAGTGATGGAAAGGGTGATGATGCAGGCTGTCTCTTGAAATGGCAGTAATTTGCTTTTAAGAATGTTTTTTTAAAAAAAAAAAAATCAGAGCTTCTAATAGAGAAGAAATGGGAAGGCGACTTCAAGAGACGTAACATTAGTAACCTTAAAAACGGAGAATTGGGCAGCCGTAATCTAATTTCATTGACAAGAGTCGTGCAAAAGAAATGAGGGTGAAATTGAAATGAGGGTGAAATTGACAGCGGGCTATAAAATTAGGGCATTTAAACTGAAATAGAGTGGAAGACACATTGTCAACCTTTAAGCACATGACCTGAAATCGCAATCATTTTTTTTTTCCAAACCTCTGCAAAGAACTGTATTATTTTCAGAAAGAGGTTTGTAAACTGCGGTTTATTAATCGCAGTACGGTAGTCTCATTCATGCAACATGCCAAGCTATGCCACGGCTGAACCAAACCACTGAGTTCGCACAACCCACTCTACCTAAGCCATTCCAGCTATCACATTGTGTGAACCCCTACACCCCACAATTGCATACAGTGGCACATCAGCATCTAATGGGAAAAATAGAGAACTAATCTTTTGAGCATTTAATTTTTATTCGTTGTCTTTATATTTTACCTGCCGTTCAGAAGCATAAGGCTGCATACCTAAGAGCCAGTTTGTTGTAGTGGTTAAGGCGCTGGCCTGGAAACCAGGAGATGGTGAGTTCTAGTCCCTCTTTAGGCATGAAAGCCAGCTGGGTGACTTTGGACCAATCACCAAGAGGCTGTAGCTTCTAGTCCCGCCTTAGGCATGAAAGCCAGCTGGGTGACTTTGGGCCAATCACCAGGAGACTGTAGGTTCTAGTCCCGCCTTAGGCATGAAAGCCAGCTGGGTGACTTTGGGCCAATCACCAGGAGACTGTAGGTTCTAGTCCCGCCTTAGGCATGAAAGCCAGCTGGATGACTTTGGGCCAATCACCAGGAGACTGTAGGTTCTAGTCCCTCCTTAGTCATGAAAGCCAGCTGGATGACTTTGGGCCAATCACCAGAAGGCTGTGAGTTCTAGTCCCGCTTTAGACATGAAAGCCGGCTGGGTGACTTTGAGCCAATCAACAGGAGGCTGTGAGTTCTAGTCTCTCCTTAGGCATGAAAGCCAGCTGGATGACTTTGGGCCAATCACCAGGAGGCTGTAAGTTCTAGTCCCGCCTTAGGCATAAAAGCCAGTGGGGTGATTTTGAGGCAATCAACAGGAGACTGGTGAGTTCTAATCCCTCCTTAGACATGGCTTTTCTGCTTCAGGAAGACTCTGAAAATCTTGCTTTTGATTAAATATTTTAAATGTACCTTTTGATAGAGGAAGGAGATAAGAATAAAATAGGCTACTAGGTCAATAGTGTCTACACTGGGGTTTCTCAACCTTGACTGCTTTAATATATGTGGACTTCAATCCCAGAATTCCCCACCCAGCCAGAGGCGGTATTTACCGGTTCGGCGAACCAATTCAAATTGCCTCTACCGGTTCGCTTGAACCAGTCCGAACCGGCTGAATACCACCTCTGCACTGAACCCCAGCTATCTCTAATCCCCTCCCCCTATCCCTCAGCTCCACTGTGGCAACACTTAAGCTCCAAGATGGCTTCGGCCGGGCCAGCTTCAGGGGTGACATTAGGGTTTTTATTTTATTTTATTTATTTTTTTAATCTACTTAAATTGGGATTAGCAACTCTGTTAATGCATTACCTCCCACACGTGCGATAGCTACACTTTCTTGCTTTCTGTAAGCCCATGTCGGTTCCCCGCTGCTCTTTGAAAGCTCTCCCATCAACTCAGTGCTACTTTTCCAGTGCCATTTTTTCAATCTGGAATCATTACCAAAATGAGAGCATTGTCCCTACCTTGAACTGGAGATGGACGCGCACACGGCTCGTCCGTCCTTTTTGCCTGCTTTTAACGCTCTCTCCCCCTTTCATCTCCCGTTGTGTTGTTTTGCTTCTTTTGATACTTTCCATTTCATCCCATTTCTGGAGCTTTGAAACAGAGCCAGCGGTGAAAAGTAGGACACAATTGTGTGAGCCTTTCCTTCTCTTTCCGTGTCAGTTTCCATGTGAATTCACCCATTAAAGCCATACGAATTCCCTTCCGCATCCGTGATAGTTTGGTTTTTGTTTTTTTAAATGAAAGGACATAGTCTTATTTTCACATACAGATCATCCAGTGGTGGGATTCAAAAAATTTTACTACCAGTTCTGTGGGCGTGGCTTGGTGGGCGTGGCAGGGGAAGGATCCTGTAAAATCCCCATTCCCTCCCCATTCCAGGGGAAGGTTACTGCAAAATCCCCATTTCCTGCCGATCAGCTGGGACTCGGGAGGCAGAGAATAGATGGGGGCGGGGCCAGTCAGAGGTGTTATTTACCGGTTCTCCAAACTACTCAAAATTTCCGCTACCGGTTCTCCAGAACTGGTCAGAACCTGCTGAAACCCACCTCTGAGGTCATCCCCAACTTACAAATATTTGTTTAGTGACTGCCCAAAGTGCTATATAGCATCGTTTTGAGGGTAGGAGTTGAAACAGTTTATGACCAGGATGCGAGGGATCTGTAACAGTGGTCGGTTTCAAATTTTTTTACTACCGGTTCTGTGGGCGTGGCTTGGTGGGCATGGCATGGCTTAGTGGGTGTGGCTTGGTGGGCGTGGCAGGGGAAGGTTACTGCAAAATCCCCATTTCCTCCCAATCAGCTGGGACTTGGGAGGCAGAGAAGAGATGGGGGTGGGGCCAGTCAGAATTTTTACTACCGGTTCTCCGAACTACTCAAAATTTCCGCTACCAGTTCTCCAGAACTGGTCAGAACCTACTGAAACCCATCTCTGGTCTGTAAATATTTTCACAGCCCTCTTTTTGACTCATGCAGTATACAGGTCCTCAATGGAAGGCAGGTTGGTAGCCATTGTAAAATGCCCTTTTTTCTAACCACCTTCTTTCTCTCTTGTGTTTTCTAGCAACGGCACAGCTAACAAGATGAATGGCGCTCTGGATCATTCAGACCAACCAGACCCCGATGCTATTAAGATGTTTGTCGGGCAGATTCCCCGCTCGTGGTCAGAAAAAGAATTGAAAGAACTTTTTGAGCCTTACGGAGCTGTTTACCAGATCAACGTTCTCCGAGATCGGAGTCAGAACCCGCCCCAAAGTAAAGGTAAGGGCATGTTGACACCTTGGATCAGGGGTCAGCAACCCGCGGCTCTGGAGCTGCATGTGGCTCTTTTATCTCTCTGCTGCGGCTCCCTGTTGCTGATCGGCTCCACAATTGATAGGGGTTTCAGTTACGACAGGTAGAGGAAAAGGGATGCCACACTAGGAGGAGACTCTATGGTGGGGGAACCGGACTTATGGTCAGCAGAGGAAAAAGGATGCTGTGCTAGGGGGAGACTACAATGGGGGAACCGGGGGCTTCTGGTTAGGACCTTTGTGGCTCTTTGAGTATTTAAGGTTGCCGACCCCTGTCCTGGACCATAGAGGGGGGGTTCATAGGTTTCTCAGTGCCTCTCAGGATTTGAAAACTTGGTTCTTATATCCAACCATCCGGCCAAATGTATAAGGAAAGTCCCTAATATTTGTTATTTGGTAAAACATTACCAACTAGGTAAAATCAATTCTAGAAGAGAGTGGGGATTGCTTGGTTATTTTCTTGCATGTGTTTCATTGCCCAACTAGATAACATCATCAGTGTTTGAAGGGAGTGGGGTTTGTGCTCAGTTTGTTTTCAAGTATCTTGCCCTGTCAGTGTTTGTGGACGTTGGAGAATTCGTGTAAGACTGCCACTCAGACAAATTCCGCCATCAACAGTCACATAGAGATAAACCACATCTACATACCTTTCAAAAGACACAATAAAAAAGCCAAAAAGGTAACAAAAAGAACAGAACATGTTCTTTCTAACAGTGAATACCCAAATAAGCAGAGATAGTAGAGTAGAGTAGAGTAGGGTAGGGTAGGGTAGGGTAGGGTAGGGTAGAGTGCAGTGCAGTGCAGTGCAATGGAATGGAATGGAACAGAACGGAACGGAATATGGAACAAAACAGAACAAAATACTTTATTGGCCAATTGTGATTGGACATACAAGGAATTTGTCTCCGGTGCATAAGCTCTCAGTGTACATACAAACAGTAAAGTAATAAGTCATAGATCATAGTTATAATAATTAATCATAGGATACAACAACAAGTGATAAATCATTGATACAATAGTAGAAATTATTAGGAAAGGTGAGAAGGTGAGAAAGATGAGAAAAATGAGAAGATAAGAAGGATAATATCAATACAGCTTACTTATACGGGTAAATATCTTTAGGCCTAAGACAGTGCTATGGGAGTTAGGTGTTCAGAAGAGTAATGGCATGGGGGAAAAAAAACCTATATTTCTGTCTACAAAACAATACCCCAATCAAGGAACTACCAAGTCAGGAAAACAAGCTAACAGTGAACAACAGCCTAATCAAAGAATCACCAAGATATTCCCCCCCCCAACAAGTGGCAAGCCACTTGTATATAGCAGAGAGCAAACCCAATCCTTTCTAGCACTGATGATGTTACTTAGTTGGGTAATGAAATGTCCGTGAGAAAACAACAAAGGTCAGAGACCACAGTTCAACCCTGGGCTACAAATCTCTTCTCTTCTCTTTTTTATCTCTGGTGTCTGACCTCCAATCCTTGTCTGGTTTCATAAACGACTTCCTCGTCTCTCAGCTAGTTGCTTTCGTCTCCGCCATCGAATTGGTCATTCTACTACCCCATCGACTTCTCCAAATAGTTTAGTTCACGTCACACTTTTCCTTCTACCGCTTAGCAAGTTCAGCAGATGGTGACGGCGGGATCCTTTCAAAGGCCCGTGCAATCTTTCTAAATAGCTTGTCTGGTTTGTTCACGCGTGATCAGACATGGTTCCGAGCCCTGGCTTGCAAACCCCATGGCGATCTAAGTTTCTCGGGTCGAAATTTGTGACGACGCCGTTCTGTAAGTCCGCTTCTTTAAACTGCGGGTTTGCAATGGTGAGTCTCGGAGACAGATTGGCCACGGAGAGCATTGGAACAGGATCCATAATTGTCAAAGCTGCGCATTCCTAATTTGGCCCTCCGCATGCAAACATCTTGAATTTCCTGCACGTCTCTATTTCTGGACATTTGATTACTTGCCTCGGATGTGCTCAATTTCCTCCAGCTTTACTCAGCTACTGTCAGGAGGGAGGAAAAAGGCAGTATCTTTCAGAATCAAACTGCTTCTAAGGGATCTCAGAGCTTTCGTCTAAAAACTACCAGCTGTTCCTCGCTTTTCCTTTGCTTTCCTAGCTTGTCACCTTCCCTTTTCTCAAATTACCAATGCTTTCCTTCGCTTCTTGACTTTCTCCAACACTGCTAACTCTTTACTGAAGGAGCTGAAGGAGTAGCAGAAGGCTGCCTTTTCTCAATTTCCTTGTTTTTTTTTCTTTGAAGACGTTTCGCTTCTCATCCAAGAAGCTTCTTCAGCTCTGATTGGATAGTGGGGAATGGAAGGATTATCCTGCCAGATAACGTAACCTTGGCAATGCTTTAATGGTTGTAAGCGTGAGAATTGGCTGTAAGTCACTTTTTCCAGCCACTGTAATTTTGACGAGTCGCTGTACGGATGGTTGTAAGTCGAGGACAACCTGAATTGCCAACTGAAATTGGGAGTGTAGAATTTCTTGAGAATTTTCTCATTGTTCTGAATCGATTGCCAAACGCAGTCGTTATACTTCTGTTGTTATTTTTTCAATGTGGAGAAAAGTTCTACTTTTATACATTGGTTTGATAGGATTTGAATTGTTGCGGTGGTATTTCATTGTCCTTGGGGTTAACTTGCCATCCCAAAGGTGTGAGGAAAACTACTCATTTAATTTAACTTAATTTAAAAGGGAATTTAAGTGCATTTATAGAGTACCTGATTTATCCAGCGGCTGCTGGTGTAGAATACAGGAGGACTGTTATGTCAAGGGATACTACTTATTATATTGAGCAGGGGTGGGCTTCAAAAAATTTAGCAAGGGATTCTCTGCCAGTTGCTGAATAGGCGTGGCCATGGTGGGCGTGGCCTAGTCGGCCTCCTGTACCACGGCAGGAGGATTGTTTTTGTCCTCCCCGGGTTCCGGAGGCTTTCCTCGAGCCTCTGGGAGGGTGAAAACAGCCTCCCCAGGCTCCGGAGGCCCTCTGGAGGCTGGAAACAGGCCCGTTTCTGGCCTTCCCGAACTTCTGGTAGGCCCGTTTTTCACCCTCCCTGAGCCTCCATGCATGCCCTGCACTTACCTGCATCCAAAACAGGCTGCGTGAGGACTCCTGGGAGAGGAGGGGTGGGAGGGGTCAGCCAGGAGTGGGATTTGGGGGTTCTCCGAACTGCACAGAATCTTAGCTAGAGGTTCGTCGGAACCCCTGCGAACCCCCCAGCAGCCCACCCCTGATATTGAGCTTGGTTTATTTTGATGGGGGCGGGGGCTGATTTCCAGGAGATTTTTTTCCAACTTCCTAATCAGACCTGAGACTTTGAAATTCCCTGGTCATCTCCCATCCAACTCCCAACCCAATTCAACCCTTTTCCGCTTGTTTCACAGTTACCACCTGCTGTATTTTATTTATTTGGTTTTTTTTAAAAAAAAAACAAACCTAACATTACTCAGAGCAATAATTTGAAGGATACGGATGGATTTGCATGGACATTTGCATATCAAAAGGAGGACGGTCCTTTAACATAAAATTTAGAATAGGCTGCATTCTTTGCTGATTTTTACACATGTGTAAACATAGCCTAAGGTAGGACAGAAAATAATAGGAACCCATCTGGATGCAATTTGAACCGATTTCTGGCAAGACGGGGAGAAAATGGAAAGAAGAGTTAAAATGCGCACAGTTTGATTGATTATGTGCCATCGAATTGATGTTAACTTTTAGGGACTACATAGCTTTTTCTTCCATGACAGTCTCTCCGTAATGTCAGCATCCCAACAAACTCCACATAGTCATTCAGAACTCTGAGACACCTAACTTGGTCCTTCAGCTCTCTAATAGCAACAGCACTTAAACTTATATCCTGCTTCCTAGTGCTTAACAGCTCTCTCTAAGACAGGGGTGTCAAACTCAAGGCCCAGAGGCCAGATCCAACCCACGTGGTACTTAGATCTGACCATGGGGCTGCCCTGGGAATAGCAAAGGACCGGCCCATGGACACCATCCTAGCCAAAAACGGAGCTCGGGAGCCCGTTTTTGCTGGCAGAGTATTCGGGCCACCACAGGCGTCCCCCCGACATGAGTGACATCATGCCGGCCACCACCACCCCTGCCTCCCCCTGAGGTCAAACACAACCCTGATACGGCCCTCAATGAAATTGAGTTTGAGACCCCTGCTCTAAGGGGTTTACAGAGTCAGCCTATCGCCCCCAACAATCTGGATCCTCATTATACTGACCTCAGAAGGATGTCATGATCGAACTTCAGGCTGTGGGCCATGTTTGCCTACAATACTGCTGTCAGGTCTTGGAAGCCCAATCTTTTGCATTGGGCTTTCAGACCTGCCACATTTACTACTGTGGGAAACTGGGAGGGGGGATTGTATGGAGCATGGGTGATACGTAGTCATAATAACATTCTTTTCTCAGAGAGTCAAGGCCATTTTGCCCTGGACCTGGAGGACTGGAACTGGGAGGCATCTCCAGTTGGGAGATGTTTGATTGGACCATGTGATGGACCACTCATTCAATGCACCCATCACCACTATTAATTAAGTCCATCCACTTCGTTGCTGGTTGTTCAATTCCAGCTTTTCCTGCATTACAATCTTGTCCAGAGAGGTAAACTCAGTTTAATTCCCCCCCCATTGGACGGGGGGGGGATTTAATTTAATTTAATTAATTCAATTTATATGCTGCCCCTCTCCGAAGACTCAGGGCGGCCCACAATACATTTTTAAAAATCATTATAAAAACATTTAAAAATTTAAAACATTAAAAACATTAAAAACTCATTCACGCCATTCATGGCTGGATCTCGCCAGATCACAAGAGCGAGATCAACGGCCCCAGGCCTGCCGGAAAAGCCAGGTCTTCACCGCTTTCCGGAAGGCCAATAGGGTGGGGATGGTCCAGACCTCAGGAGGTAACTGGTTCCAGAGAGTTGGGGCAGCCACAGAGAAGGCC